TTTTTGAAGGGAAAGAAGTGGACTGTTATGCAATGGCCAAGTCAATCACCTGACCTGAATCCGATTGAGCATGCATTTCACTTGCTGAAGACAAAACTGAAGGGAAAATGCCCCAAGAACAAGCAGGAACTGAAGACAGTTGCAGTAGAGGCCTGGCAGAGCATCACCAGGGATGAAACCCAGCGTCTGGTGATGTCTACGCGTTCCAGACTTCAGGCTGTAATTGACTGCAAAGGATTTGCAACCAAGTATTAAAAAAGTGAAAGTTTGATTTATGATTATTATTCTGTCCCATTACTTTTGGTCCGTTAACAAGTGGGAGGCACATATGCAAACTGTTGTAATTCCTACACCGTTCACCTGATGTGGATGTAAATACCCTCAAATTAAAGCTGACAGTCTGCAGTTAAAGCACATCTTGTTCGTTTCATTTGAAATCCATTGTGGTGGTGTATAGAGCCAAAAATGTTAGAATTGTGTCGATGTCCCAATATTATTTATGGACCTGACTATATATACACAAAAATGAAAAAAAGTAAATCAATAAATTACAAATGAATGAATAAGGAAACATACCCATAATGATGTAGAACTATACCAGTGAAGATGATAGTTTAGATCAGGTGTGAAGTTAATTAAAGTGCAGTGGAATGACAATTGTTTTGTGTGCCCAATCGAGTCGGTATCCTGCTTTCGGTTCACACTGAAGGTGCTGGGAGTTGATCCCAAAAAGAGTGAGGACCAATCTAAAAACAATTGATAGATTAATCAACTTATCAAAATAATCGTTAGTTGCAGCCCAAACCATTTTGTTCTCCTCGTAAATATATTATTTGTCAACTACTGTTTTTTTTTCTTTTTTTTTTTTCTCAGTGTGGTACTCATGTAACATAATATATAAAAACTAATAAAATGATTTGCATGCTACCCTGTTACTGCCATAATACCTGTCACCTGTAATAACAAAACACCTAATATGGATTTCTTTCTTTTTTTTTTTTTTTTCAGAGCTCAATATCTCATATGTAATGCTGTGCCAAATTATCCAGTTTGTCTAGTGCTAAGTGCATACTATGATTTATACTTAGGTAGTGATTTTGCCCACAGCCAAGGTCACTTCTTAAGGTGCTCTTTACAATTCCACACATCAAACCCCATCTGATTTTGCTCATATTTGCTCATATGACTTGATTACAGTGGATACCTTTAGTGCTTATTCCCCACATTATTGGCATGACCTTTATACCATTGCATTGCCAAGGTCACATACTACAGTTTGTTTATACATGAAACAATAAATAAGGCGTTTGCTTCTTGCAGAGTAAAAATGCAACCAAGCATTCAGCTGCTATGCTTAAAACTCATGTTCATAATTTTATCCAGAAAAAAAAAAAGGTCCTCAAGGCAATGGATGGCTCTGAAGACAATAGTTGTTCCTCTTCCAGCTGCTCCTGTTAGGGGTCGCCACAGCGGCTCATTGGTGTGCGTATTCAATTTGGCACAGGGTTTTTTTATTTATTTTTTTTAAATCACCAGATGCCCTTCCTGACACAACCCTCCCCAGTTTTATCCTGGCTTGGGACTGGCACTGACAGCACATTGTTGCACGCAACCCCAGTGGCTGAGGTCGGTTCCCTGGATGGGAATCGAACCCGGGCCACGGCGATGAGAGCGCTGTGGCCTAACCACTAGTCCTCCAGGGACCGGCTGAAAACAATAGTGTTATGCATTTACTATTGGCCTTAAATGGCATTCCATATTTTGTTTTAAGCGTACGTACAGCCCAAAGCGTTCATTTGAGAGTGGCTTTTTGTGCGTGCGTCAAACTATTAGACAGTGGTGCTGGACTTAATTCTGCTCTTCAGTATGAACTTCTCACTACACGAGTGTAACTCAACTCTGAATACAAGTGTAATGTATTACAGTATAATTGCAGTCAGTACTTAATGTAATGACTATGCTTATTATTAGAAGATGAAGAAATCTCTTTTTTTTATTTATTGTCATTAAAAAATTGCCATTATTATTACCTCTGACAGCTTATAGCAGTACAGAGGTGAATTGCTATACAGAACTGCTAACAGTGCATTAAATAATATCTGAGACCTACAAGACCATAAAGACACTGAGACACTTAGCACTCTTACACACACACACACACACACACACACACACACACACACACACACACACACATAATACATGTAATAACCTTTAATAACCTTTTAATTTTAAGTAGGGAAATGTATTACAAATATATCAGCAGTCACTGGGTAGCATATTCATATTTATGAGCTAATTTCATCCTGGCGAATAACGTAAGTCAATTTAATTTTGTTATTTATAAATTACCTTTGTCATAATGTTTTTCAAATTTATTCATTATTCATATCTGCACTTTGCAGTAACATGCGTATTCTGCTAAGTGGACATGGATTTGTTGACTTCTGCATGGTGAAAATGGATTATTTGTTAGGACATGTGCACATACTTTGGCACTTAAATTATTAAAATTATAGCAATGCACCATAAATCTTGTCCCTCATCAGAGGATGAATATTGAATATTCCTCCAGTCATAGCAACTACGGTTGACATCTATGGATTTGTGGCATGTGCTTTATAGGTCCTGTGATTGGCTCACCATTAAAAGATTTCCTGTATTTATTTTTGCCTTTGGCAGCCATTCGACATCAGCATTTCATTGCGTGCTTTGTGAGATTAATAGTCTTATCATGCGTCCAAGTGATTAGTGGGTTCTTAATACTTATTACACTGCATTATCGGGATTCTCTTGAGAGGCGACTGTTAGCAGCAAGGTTGGGTTAGAGACAGGGGAGATTACAATCACACCCTGATTGAACAGCAGTACTATATCAGCATGCAGGAACTCACATGAGCACCAGCTTTTTATCCTTCCAAAAGTCGAATTCATGAGTGATGCTCAATATCCGTACTTGTCAGTCAGGACATTATCTACTGAATGCTAAAGGAAATAGAACGTATATACAGTATAAGCCACAGAGTAAACAAATAGTGTCATGAACTCTTTCTGCACTTGAAAATTGTATTATCTTAGTATTTCCATATGCGAAGCCTCATGTGCTGACATCTGATCCCTCGAAGCCAGTGCAGATTCTTTTCTACATTATATCCGGCAGCTAGTTCTAACACAGGCTATATCACTCTTTCTGAAAACAACTGATTTTGATGCACAACAGATCTGTAAAGAAATGGACAATGTTATTTTCTGAGCCAACACTTCCTTCGAGTGTAGCATTGCCCTTCTGGCAGATTTTAATGACATGAAATAAGGCAGAGAAGATGACAGCCGGGTTCTTTTTACGACTCTGTTGATAGGTTCAGCTGGTTGGGTCGTGTAGACTTGACCCAAATTGAGTTGATAATGGGTGACCAGTCATGCTGGGTTGGGGAGGCAGACCTGAAAGAAAACTGTCTTTGTACATTGTGTTCATTATTTATTTATTTATTTTTTTTCCATTTTGAAATGGGAAAGAAAATATAGATATAAATGTAAGTGTTATGCAAATGAGATATTCCAAACAGTTTTGTCTTTAAATTAATTAATATTGCAGAATGATCTCATATTTCTTCTTTGCTTGTGCTTTTCATCGTTTCAGATTCAATTCGGGGCTAATTAAATGATCTTGAATGATCCAGATGTGTACTAGCAATTACAAGCTGGGAGCTAGTAACAAGAATGGTAGATTAAAGGCTTCCTTTAGTGCCCGACATACTGCTAATGTGGCTAACAATGTGCTTTTATAAATAGCAAGAGGATGACGGTACAAGAGAGGGACAAGTTGGCTGCAAAAATCAAACCCCAAATTTATTTCTGCATATGTCATGTATGTATGCAAAAAAATGAAGTCTTTGCAAGTGAAAATATTTTGAATATACATAATAATATGTAGTAAAACCTATTTAGTATTTCCTCTTATAACAATACAATAAACCAAACACAATATATGGTTATGAAACCTATTTCTAGACATTTTTATTCATTCCAAGCTTGAAATAATTCTGTTAGCAGATATTGTTTATTTCTATTTGCAGAATTATCTGGCAATACAATAAGACAATTTTAAGGCTTGGAATGTGTAAAATAAAACATCTAAAAAACATCTGAATAATCATTTAATTTCTAATAGTCTCATGATAAGAAATATTGTAATGTGTTATCATAACGTATGTGATGTGTGTGGCATGGGCAAAAAATCCACAATCCAGAGGGCAAGAAGAATCCCCTAGAGGGTTTATTGCATAAGACTGAAGGGATGAGTGGAAGGGATGGGAAGGGAAGGGAAGGGAAGGGGTAGGTACAGGAGATCACCAGCTTGCTTCGAATTGTGCTTGTGAGGCAAAGAGTTCAGCAGAGTTCAGAGGTTCAGTGCTGGATAGATTTCAACTTTCCTCTGATGACTCTGAAAATACAGCACTCATATAGAGCACATTAAAAGCACAGCACAGTGCTCATATACAGCACATTAAAAGGGTTTTTATGAGGATTTTGTCCAACTCTAACGACTCCCTTGAGAAGCAGTTGGAGGAATTAGGATTTGGTCCCGCTCTACCTTGAGTAAATGTGCATTTGCTATAATGTTGGGTTTTGAACTTATCCTTTTTTTACCTGAGGCTTGGTATCACACACGTCAGGCTTTTCTACATTACAATTCACATACACTTGTAAATTCCACATACAAATGATAGGTTAACAAAACAGATAAATGTTGCTTATATATTATTTATTAAATTATATATTAAAACAAAATATGTATAGATCGGTGGTCATCAACTTGCAGTGTTCCAGATGTGAACCCAGCAATGAACACTACATGGCCAAAAGTACAGTATGTGGCCCATCACACCCATGTGTGTGGCCACAAAGTCGAAAGCGCACAATTGCCTAGAATGTCTTTGTAGCATGTAAAGTTAAGATTTCCCTTCACTGGAACTAAGAGATCCAAACCTGTTCCTGCATGACAATGCCCCTGTGTACAAGCAAGGTTCATAAAGACGTGGTGTGACAAGGTTGGAGTGGAAGAACTCGAATGGCTTGCACAGTGCCTTGACTTCAACTCCATTGAACACCTTTGGGATGAACTGGAATGCTGACTTGATGCCGGGCCTCCTCACCCGACATCAGTACCTAACCTCACTAATGCTTTTGTGGCTCAGTGAACACAAATCCCCACAATCATGTTCCAAATCTAATGGAAAGCCTTCTCAGAATAGTGAAGTCTGTTATATCAGCAAACCAAAGATGTTCAAAAAGCACATATGGTTATGATGGTTAGGTGTCCACATACTTTAGGCCATATAGTGTATTTCAGTGGACTGAACCAAGGACTTGAAAAAAATACTGTAGCAGTCTTTGATGGTGCTGTTGTTCTTGGGTCCAAATACTTGATATATGTCAAGTATGATCTGCTTTAAGTTGCTTGTTAACAGCAAATAAGGCTAAATTTGCATGCCAAAAGATTTGACGCTCATTTTTATATATTTTTTTTTTCCTTGAAAGAGAGGGAGGACTTAGCCCTGCTAGCCCATTTATAGCAGCCAGACCCGTGTATGTGTTATTGCAATAGAAGCTCAACTAACATATTTATTGTAACATTATTTTAACTGCCAATGTCTGAAATATCACAATAGCAAACTCTGCATAATCTAACATTCTCCTTTGATATCCGCAAAATGCATTCTTATTTAGTGTCACTTAATGACCAAACTATACGATGTGATTGTTGGATCATAGTGCATATGTTATAGAGTGCAGACCTTACACATTCTTAGCCAGCTTAATTTATCTGGTAAAGTATAACGTTCGCCACTTAAACTCCAATAAATTACTTGCTTCCACTCTTCTCTTTTACAACATACTATGAGCTTAATAATGTTGTGTTGTTTTCCATGTAGTACATGGAAAATAAGCCTTAAGCCGTTTGGAAATGTAAAGGAAAATAGCAGATTAATATAATTAATCATTTATAATACCTCTAATTTTGATGGAGATGGTTGTCTTTGCCTTTCTTTCTCATCTATTATGCAGCTTGCTTCCAGCCACTCCCCTTCTCTGTTTTTCATGACTTGACACGAAATGCTATTGCCATGCTTGACCATGACCATTATGTATTCCTCACTTTGTTTCACTGGGGAATGGATTTTAGGAGAGCTGCAGTACACCCGTCACACAAATTAATACAAAGGTCACCATGCAGATGCTGACCAATAGTAAAATTGTTATAGATCTCTTTTCTACATTTTATTGAGCCTAGGATGAAGACTGGGTAAAAAAATAAAAATAAATAAAAACATGAATTTTTCCAGACTTTGTTGATTTTAGCAAGCAGATTGTGTTTAGGCATCCTAAGTTCAGAGTTGAACTTATGTTTCAGAGTTGAACTTATGTTTCAGAGTTGAACTTATGTTTCAGGCAGATCAACATGATGTCTGAGATGGACATAGCATCTTTCTCCAGCACAGACAACATTTTAATGCACCACCTGCCAAAGAAATGTTGCCATAGACACTGATGTACAGATGGATATAAAAAACATCTGCGGGTCTTAACCTAAGTGAGAAATTGCTTTCCAATTTCAGATTGCTTCTAAAAGGTCAGGTCTTTTAAAGGCTGGTTTGTTTATTGACAGTTACACTCATATATATATTTTTTTTCTTTTGTA